ACGTGGTGGAGTCACCATCCCTGGAGGTGTTCAAGAAACGTGTAGCTGTGGTGCTTAGGGACATGGTTTAGTGAGTTAGGTGGTGTTGGGTTGGACTTGATGATCCTTGAGGTCTTTTCCAACCTTAATGATTCTATGATTCTATGAAAAGCAGTGTGGCCAGCAGCTCAAGGGAGGTGATTCTCCCCCTCTGCTCTGCTCTCATGAGACCCCACTGCAGTGCTGCATCCAGCTCTGGGGCCCTCAGCACAAGACAGACATGGACCAGTTGGAACAGGTCCAGAGGAGGGCCACAAAGATGGTCAGAGGGCTGGAGCACCTCCCAAATGAGGACAGGCTGAGAGAGTTGGGGTTGTTCAGCCTAGAGAAGAAAGCTGGAGAAAGACTTTTTATAAGTGCATGTAGGTAGTGACAGGACAAGGGGTAACTGTTTGAATCTTAAAAGAGGGTAAATTTCGATTAGTTATTATCACATATTTTTTTCCTGTGAGGGTGGTGATACACTGGCCCAGGCTGCCGAGAGAAGCTGTGGATGCCCCATCCCTGGAGGTGTTCAAGGCCAGGCTGGATGAGGCTTTGAGCAACCTGGGCTAGTGGGAGGTGTCATGTGGCAGGGGCGTTGGAATGATGATCTTTACAGTCCCTTCCAACTCAAACCATTCTATGATTCTATGATTTGGGCCATATGTGGAGAGCAGGAGACAGATTCCTGAATGAAGAACATACATGTATTTAAGCATTTAAGTCTAGTTTCATTTTTGTGCATTAGCATTAAGGCAAAATACTTACTGTGGAAAGGTAGGATGCATGTAGAGTAAAAACAGATTTCAGCCATCGAACCATTACTGAGGCACTGGAAAGGAAAAATAAATTACATCAAAGAGATATTGGCTGAGAAACACCCATTTCACACTGCAGATGGAAAACAGTTCTATAGAAGTGCTCCTCTTCCATTATATAAAAAGATAAATGCAGATGAAAACATAACAGTTTAGGTCTCAGATGAGATACCTATGTAAGTTATTTGTTAGGAAAATAACAGACATTTAAGCGAGGGATTAAACTAGACATGTTCAGGCTCTGTGTTTTTTACATCTTTTATGGGAGGTTTCCATGAACAGAGGATCAAAGCATGCTACTTTTTTCTCCGCCTACAACAAGAGAATTTTTATTTAAAAAAACTCTTAAGCAAACAACACAATTAAGGACAACTAGTCTCAGCAAAGCTATCCTTATAGCAATATAACAAGACGGGGGGCAGGGAAGAAGAGCTGGTTTTGTTATTGATTAAACACAACACCAGGAGATGTCTAAATATATCTGAGATTTATTTTATTTTACATATTAAGCACATCCCCCATGTTGATATTCTGGGATCTCACATACCTGAAATAAGCATATAGCCCTAAGAATGTATCCTTTTCTCTTTTTAATTTCATTTCAACCATCCTGACAAAGCACTGCCTTAATAAAAGTTCCTATTTGCAACCACAATCAGGTGAGAATTTTTACCTTAAGATGCTGCAGTTTAATTACAGTTACTACGGAAATCAATCATAAAGGTGGAGGAAGCAACCACAATGTTGCAAAAGTTTCAGGTGAATTAAAGTGTAGTTGAGTTGTCTCTTACCTGTATGGGTTGCCCTGCAATCTCTTCGTAAGCTAAAAGGACAAAAATAATCAGCAGTAAGTAACAAAACACATAACGAGTTTAAAAACCCCATATTACATCCATGTGACAGCCCCAATTCTGGGGCAGGAAGACCTCCAAGCATTTGAAGTTTTCTAGAATTAACCATTGTCAAGCTCTAGATACTACATCGTTGGCTCTACCATGCTACAGGCAGGCTGATAACTTGCAGAAGCTGAGATTCATTATTGCAATAACACTAGAACTCTTAACAGGCAATATATCAGTCTGCATCTGCTTAGTAGAGCAGCTGTTACAAGGTTGACAAGTTGGGGAAACAAGTGAAGGTAATATCAGGTAAAGGCTAGTTCACAGAACAAATCTCAAGCTCTGGAGAAGACAGCTACACGAAGATCTGTCGATCCACTGAGATTATACCGGCAAACACTTGTACTTAAGATTCTCTGACGAAGGTCCTAAAGAAGAAACACTGTACCACATACTAACATAAGTCTACAGAGGTGTAACAACACATGATTAAAGGAGGTCCAAACATCCAATACCAGCCCACCTGCATAATTGAGTTAAGATTAGTACCACAAGTAAAAACTGTTACTCAGGGTCGCATATTAAGATACAAGAGAAATCTAACAATTAACTTACGTTATAGAATGCCATTCACACAACAAGATCAACTAATCGATGTTCAATTTAAACAAAGTAGAGAAGGCTAATCATTCAAATATTTGTCAAAATACAGATTTTATTTAATATCACTGAATAAACAGTTCAGAAGCCAAATCCTTTTTAGACTTAGCACTAAGTGATGTTGCAAAGCTTAAACACAGCAACTGGGCTTTTGAGCTATCTTCTAAATAGGAAATAACTTGCCCCTCAATTTCCAAGTGCTGTCTAAACTCACCTCTTTAAGTATGCACTCCATTTTTCGTTCTCTTACGAATCTAACATATTTACGCTCATATCATTTATCTGACTAGCACTGCTATTTTCATGTTTCAAATTATCACTCATTTTAATAGTTTAAAAAAAAAAAAAAGAATGGTCATTGTTTCCCATGGACTGAACAAGCTTTAGCTTAACCTCTTCCTTTTTCCCCACATAATCATTTAAGATAATATTACATAATCTAATGCTCTTCCTAGCTTTGACAGTGGCACTTTGTCCTTTGGTTAAGCTTCAGCCAGAGAAGATAAGAGCGTATCTGAGATAAATTAAGAACAATTTCTGTCTTGCAAAACTAACAAACACATTTTATTGGTAAAAATACAGAGACATATCCTGGATTTTTCCCACCTAGAACACAAACCAAATGTGGCTTGTATTACCGAACAAGAAATGCAGTCTCTCCTACCTCATGCAGCAGGGGGATGACAGCATGTATAGGCATTCTGGCTACCGTGTTCTTTATTACATTTTCCTTTCTTGTGTTAAGCACTCTCTGTTAAAATGGAAAAATATGATCAGAGAATCATTCAGTTTTAATACGTGTATGAGCAATGAGCACAATCAAAAATTTCTGGTGTTAAATCTCTTTCTTTTTCTACTCCACTACCTTTGCATCCTAAGATGAGGAAAAATATTAAAAGATTTATGGTGGCAAGGAGTTCCATTTTTCAAGTCAGCTACAATTAACAAAATAAGACACTTGACTAACCCATCTAAAACAATCTAGCGTTGCCTCTAGCCCACCCATCCCGTTTTAGAAATGAAGCATCACAGGCACATTAAAATTTCCCTTGCTATTTTCTGTGCTAGACTTCTGTAAATAAATGCCCGTCACCACTATCTCGACAAGTAATTTCTACTCAGCATCAGATTCTTAAGATTTCATTTCCCTGCCCCAGGACAATTACTTTCTCCTAGTCCAAGTGCAACAGTAAGCTTTCCAAGTCAAACTGCTGTCATCAACGCTTGGAAACTGTACACACAGGAGACTAAGCACAGATTACGCTCCAGTTCAAGCTAAAGGGACGATGGCTGCATTAGTAACATCGCTTGTAAAACATCTGAACTGTGATGTAATAAATTTATCATAGACTTTGAGAAGCACCTCAAAGTTCCTAGACTAACTCAGAAAGCAAGGTAGGTAACAACAAAAGAAGGAATACTGCTATTATCATTTATAATACCGCTGCCTTGAGCAGCAAATCAGCAAAAAGCAACTAGGAGAAACGTCTGGTTCTTGACCATTCAGCCTCCCTGGCTTTCAGGAAGGCTCTCCACAACTCTCAGTGAATAGATTAAACAGCACACAATGATCTTATAACACTTACATTTAAGATTTCTGCATCGTTGCTTTCCAAGCCCTGAACCAAAAGTACTGCGAAGCTATCTGTTTGTGGAAGGCCACCTGGAGTTTTTACTTTGCTTACATCAATATCCAATGCCTCTAGGCGCTCTTCAATGCTTTCCTGCAGACAGTAAACAAGGGAAGTGCTATTTCAGTGAGGTTTCTCAGAAACATCAGCCAAAAAGAAGTACCTAACCTAGAGCATTCCCTCGGACTCTGCTGGAAAATAACACAAATTTTGCATATTCTTTTAAATGTATTTACAGAGAATAGTCTGAGAAAAGAAGAGAAGATGAAGTTTTGACTGAAAAGCAGTACTATACCTTAGCACAGAGAAACAGACACAAGCACGTGACGAAGTTGTGCAGGAACATGGGAAAACTGGGCAAGGCAGACAGGTCTTGAATGAGGGAAAGATTTTGAGCAGAGGGAAGTCTCTATCATACAAAAAATATAATTAACCTTGCTTCCAAGTGCAAATTCTTGTACTTGCAAGCAAGTGCAAGTTCACCTGAAGAAGTTATAATGATGATTTATGATTCTAGTTTCTCCATTATTGCTGCATTTAAAAGAGGAAGCACTTTACCTCTGTCTCTCCCGGTTTCCTCTTGTTTTTCTTTTTCTCCTTTCCTGAAGATGGAGTTTTGACAGCTGTACTATGTCCTGGAATGCCAGGCACTAGAACTTTGGTGTCTGAGTTCACAACAGGTGTCTTTACCTAGTAGACAGAGATAACCACATTTACATGAAATGCTAAGATCTTGAGCTTTCTTTCAATTTAAAATACTGATTTTATTCTGAGACTCCCACATACACGGTAAAACCAGCCTGCCACAACCCATTTTCTTGGCAAATATATTAGGAAAACCTTATATTTTTAAGAGCAATTAATAACTTCAAGCAACAGTCAGCTAGTTTTCATACTTAACTAAAGCAATAGTCTCTTTGGAATAACCTGTGAATCATTTTTCTTACAAGCTTGTTCCGTAACACTCAAACTAAGTGTATCTAACAACAAACATTTGGATGTTTGCTAGCAATACATACCACATGTACTAATAGTTAGGCCCATAACCCGCATGCAGATTAATTCAGCTTCCACTGGAAAGTAAGAACTGATCAAACAGCAGCACAATGTAACAGTAAAAGGTAGTTACTATTCACTTCAATCGCAACAATTTTCTTCTAGGGATTGTTCAAATGCAAAACTCAGTAGTCTGCATCATATTATGACCACGATAACAAACCTTAGGTTATATCAAACAACCTGTGGTATCCATCTTCAAAGAACACAAGGAGATTCAATTTTAAAGGCAATATATTTAATAACCAAGCGCTCCCCTGACCCCCACAGGATGTAAGAGTATGCCACTTCCAGCATATCAAGAATGCTATCTGCTACTTCCAGAACACTTCTTTAACCACAGTAGTTCTGTGCAGGCCTTTTTTTAAAGTACCTCCCCAAAGTTCTGTCCTTGTGGGAACGCTACTGGGTGCCCACTAAAGTAATACAAATATCATCTACTACAGCGAGCAAAGCAACTTCCATATGATGGGTGCAAAACAAAAAAAAAAAAAAATTATTAGTGGCTCAAGGATTTTACTGTAGAACAGCAACGGTCTTAAAATACCACCCCCCTTGGCTCACCACACTAATCACTGACCCTCTCCCCACAATGCATGCTCAGACAGCCAAGAGAAATGCGTCTTCACTGAAATTCAGCAAAAAGCGAAACCAAGATGGGTATCATCACTGCATGCCAGGGAGTTTCTACACCTCTCACTGCATTTGAACTCTGCTACCCACCAGCTCCAGGACTGAGGAATCAGTGCAAAACCCCGCCTAGCTGATGGAGCACCAGATCTGCTAGGTAACTTCAGGGTTAGAAAAACAGTGCTGTCTGCTCACTTCACTGATACTGCAAGCGTTTCACATCTTCAAGGCCTTGAATATGCACACTGATTAAGAACTTAAATCCCCAGGGGATCCTGCATGAGAGAAAACGGTGGCAAGCGTTGCCATCCAAGTGTCAAGCTCACATTCCCAGGTGCCATATCCCTGGGAGTTGGAACACGTGAAGGCCACCTGGAGAAAGAGCCAAAGGACATGCCCTTTAAGGCTCCATTACATTTGATTTAGAACCCAAACAAAGCCATCCCAATTTCACCCCAAACCATCAGGGTCAAAGATGCTGTAAAAACTGACAGACTCTAGAGGAAGGACTGATGTCAAACAGAAAAGAAACCATCAGCCAGTCCTGTCCATCAAGCAGACTTGCTGAAAACGGGACTCGCTATGAGCTACAGGAGGGTAACTGCGTGCAAGAGCATCCATGAAGCACACTTTACCCACACCTGCCTGAGCGCTATGGACACCTGTAGCTACCACTGCAGCTCTGAGCAGGCCCATCCTGAAATCCAACCTCCTTTTAAGAGAGCACTAAATTCTATCATTTCCAAAGTAAAACAAGAGGAGCAACAAAATTCCATTTCATGCAAAGCTCACCTTTGTTAGAGCAACATCTGTTTTAAGTGACAACACTTTCTGGATGTCCCTTATCAAACATACGTGGGATTCAGTGGTGTTCAAAGACTAGAAGCACAGGAACAAAACCAGTTAATATATTTGAGATTCATTACACTACTGAAAGATGAGAACAAATTCCAAAGGTATAAAGTAGAATTAACTTTTTTCCACTCTAGAAGAGCAGCTGCTTTGCACATCTGCCTTTTATTACCAGATCACTATGCTCTCCAAAGAAGCTCACACAGGCAAACTGTATCAGTACAAAAAAGTTTCAATTGCCTAACTCGGTAACAGCTGAAATCGCAAGAAACAGCCAGCCATAATTTCAAGTTGTATTTTAATTGAAAGAATGGAAGAATACAAATTGCTTTTCAAAACAGCTCAGGGGAAACAGGCATAGCTCCCAGAAAAGGGGGAGGGAATAAGCTTTCTCTTGTTATATGATTAAAAAAAAAAATCCCTCCAACTGAGAGCAGTATACAGTCCATATTACAAAATGCAAAACCTCTTCAGTAAGTTTTACATACCACTTTCTCTATGATGGGCTGTAAGGTGTTTCCATACACAAGCAGCAGAGACTGTTTGTCTGTGCAAAACGCAGCTGCTAGAATAGGGACTGGTTTTGGTGTGGAGTCTCCATCATTTCCAGGCGTTGCTATCTGGATAGTACAGTTTGATGTTAAGGGTTTTTTGCAATAACTGAAAAGGAATGAAAAAATTCCAAGAGGTTTAGCTTAAACGCTTCAATATCTTGCACATCTAAGCACCTTTCATTAGCAGGTCCTCAGCAAACTCAGACAGTTTACACCTTTTACAGATGGGTAAGATGAGGTACAGACACACAACGTCTTGGCTAAAGCAACACTTAACACCAAAGTTTAGCACAGCCCCCACCAAGTAAGTTCTCCAAAAATGTATCTAGTAATCCAAGACAAAGAACCATCTGGAACCTGGTTTGCAAACAGATACAAGAGCTTAAAGGCAGCAGCCAGACAAGACTAAACTTTGCCCTTCCATAATCCCAATCTTTCGCAAAGACACCCTCAAGATTAATACTAACTTACCCATTTAAGATATGTTCAAATAAGTGCAACTGCCCATCTCTGCACACAACTGCTAACTTCACAGGCTGAAAGAAGGGACAGTAAAATATTTTAATTAGATCAAAGGACAAACCTATTGTAAGTACAGGACATCAAAAGACAGGCATGTGGCTAAGATTTGACTTTTTGCAGTAACTAAACACATTAAAGATCCAACTAAATCCACAAGGAATATCAAAGACTCTAACATCTCGGGAACATTTAGTACAACTATTAGGAGACAGAAAGATAACTCATAACTGTATTTTACTGTATCACTACTGATATATCCAGATTTGAACAGTTTGCACACTAGCAGACATATGTCATCATAAGCAGCGAAGTTCCAAAAATATGGTACCCAACATGACTAGAGAGACAGGTCTACAAAGGCACTGACACTGTAAATATGCTTAGAGGAAAGAACCTGAGATTAGTACTCTGAGCAATTAAATGACAGGTATACATTACAGAATACTCTTATCTGCAATACATGTAGTAAAAGAGCACAACTGGCAACATCAGAAAATACAGCATGAAATACTGTTTTTAGAAAAGGAATCTAAAGGAAGCAGGAGAAAAATGTTTTAAATAATTACTGAAACAGTTTGTGAACATGTTTCACATGCAGACAGTTTTTGTAAGATAACTACTTTGAAAGGCTTGTACTTGCTGAAATTGAGAGACTTTGGGAATGCTCTATTAAAGGCTAGTTAATTCAAAATGCAATTCCACTGACAAAGCCACTTAAGATCAGAAAAAGCAGTACCATACCCAAACTGGATTTTTAGAAATATATTTTTTTTTTTTGCTGCCAAGTTCTAACAACCATTTTGATTACTAACTTGTTCTAAATAGGAAACAACTGACACTTCCACCATCACAAGCAAAATTCCAGAAGAGAACACTGAATTTGCACTTAGTAGCTTTGAAAATGAGTATTTCAAACCATCAGCTTTATAAATGCAGCTGTAATAAATATTCCTACAACCATGAATTGGCATTCAGATCTCATCTCTGCATAACAGAACCCAAATACAAACCAAGCTGCTTTTTTTACACCCCTAAAAGGAAACATGTGACAATTGAAAACTGTCGAACATATGTGGTTACAAACTATTGCTCCTACCTCTTCTTTGACTTCTGATACAGTCAGGTCAATAAAAGTTGGTTCATCTGTTACTGTGAAAGACATCACAGCATTCTTTTCTTTCCTATCTGATCTGATCTGCCTGGAAGACACAAACAGTACACATGCCTATAAATTACCAGCGACTGTAGTAGTATCTACCCCACCCCAAAATTCTCATGCTGTAATTTCAGCTTTCCGCTTAGAAAGTGTTCTAAATTCCAAGTGTAAAGTAACTCCCAAGTGAAATTTAGCAAGAAAACTTAGCATAAACCTTACAGTAAGTACAAAGAACAATGAAGCCTATTAAACAGTATGTTCTTGGTGTACACTAGCAATTCAAACGGCAACTGGAAGCATGCTCAGACACAGCCAAGGAAATTCATGTCTTCATTCAACCATCAGTGAGTTGAAACCACCATTCAAGAGATCATCATTGCATTTCTCCAGAGTGCCCCTTCTGCTTAACATTCTGTTTAATCGCAGAGTTCAGAACATAGTTGTTGAGTCTGTCCTCAATACTGCTCATAATCAGAGCTACAAATTACGAAAAGCTTACGTACCATACACTCAGTAATCGATCATGTATAGCTCCAGACAAGAAATAAAGCCCTGTAATTCCATCAAAGGGCTTATTTTCATTCATAGGTTTCACTGTGGTAAACATTAATGATGACACTGATGTAGCATGGCCTGTGAAATGCTAAGAGGAAAAAAAAAGAATCTTTCAATTATTGCCATAAGCAGTCATAGTAAAAATTAAAATATTCATTAACTAAGAACATTAGGAAACATTCAAGTGTTACTAAGTCGACAAGGACATCTCAGCGATTTTTTTTTTTTACTAGTGATCTGCTTCCTTGCCTTTTAGTATTTCAAGGAAACTTCCAATGACCATCCAGATATTTATCAGAATTTTAAAAGTTAAATGAGGAACAAAGGCAAATTCACTGGGATGAAGTCCATGCAAAAGAAATCACATCCACTCGTACTGCTATTACTGTCAGAAAACACCTTCCCTCCACCCTGCCTCCAATTTTAAAATCAACTTTTACAATGAAACTAGACTCAGTTTCATTCTGTAAGATGAACATACAGGCCTGCTGACACACTAAGGCTGTGGATACACTTACGTGACAGCAAGTACCAGCTGATTCAGAGACCAGTTGCATCCTACCTGCTATCAGGCAAGAGAACACGGCTGCATTCACAGAACAGCTAAAACACGGTAATTTGCTCATGCAAAGGGGTTTGCTTCTATGCCTTCCAACTGTTTGAACAGCAGAACTGATAATACCACCAGTTACATGAAGTTTATCAAAGAAACCTGAAGGCTTCAGGAAGGGTTAAGCCAGGGATCTCATGCACAAACCCATGCCAGTAGTAACTAACACTGTGGTAAACTGAGTTCTCCTGATTAGAAGGGTATCAGAAATAGACCCAGTGAAAAACAACAGGATCCATTTTTCTGCTCGAGGCTTGACAAAGGGTGCTGGTAGCATGCTCAGACACAGCCAAGGAATTTAATGTCCTCATTCAACTCAGCAAACTGAAAGCACAGTTGAGGGTATCATCACAGCAACAGCTTCCAGCAATCCCAAAACTGCCAATTGTCTCCTCACAGTTTCAATCCTATCAGGAAACACTAGATACCTAACGGCACCAATCAAGAACAATATTTTTTTGCATCTAGTTTACCAAAGTTACTTACTCTGTAGACTTCTTTGGTCTCCAGGTCCCACAGTTTTATAGTTCTACCTGCTGACAGCAGCATTTTCCCATCTGGACTGATGCATAGAGAAGTGACACTGCTATTGTCGCCTTTCCACTTGCTAGAATTTGGATGGAGGGTTTTTGTACAAAGGAAGAAAGATGAAGAAATAGAAAAAACAATATTCATTAGCATAATCTCAAAATGCATATCAACCATGCTGGAAAATATAAGGCAAAAAATATAAAAAAAAACCCAACTTACACAGTCAAACATGAGGTCAAAGCTATTCTGTTTCTCCTCCTTTCCTTCAAAGTAGTTTAACACAAAAATAGAGCAACACAAAAATACAGCAACTCAAAAATGTAAAGCTATTTAATGCTGAACAACTGTTGACTTGAATATTTGCCTTTTCTGTTCTGAATTCCTCTCTCAAATTTCGCTGCTACTCAAAACAGGGTAACAGGAGCTACAACATTTCAAGACTTCTCTTTGCACCACGCTCCAAAAAGTCAGTGGAAAGCTTACAGGCAAGTATGAGAAGAGATCAACAAGCATGATGTGATGAGCATCTGCTACAGATTGTGCAATTAAAAAAGAAATAGATAAATCTTCATCATTGCATGCCCTAGTTCTTCTAAGAGGCTTTAACCACTCCAGCAACTGCTGGAAGGTCAGCATAGGAGGGCACAAGCAGTCCCAGAGATTGCCGGCAAGTGCTGAAGACCTTCTCGTTACGCCAACACACGACAACGGAATTTAAGACCCCAAGAAAAATGAGCAATATAAACAGTAGAATTACAACCCTGGATTTCAAAGAGATGACCACAACTTATTCAGAGAACTGATTGGCAGGATCCCACTGGAGGTTGCCCTAAAGGGCAAAGGGGTCCAGGAAAGCTGGTTGCTCTCCTAGGATAACCTCCTCAAAGCAAAGGAATGGTCCACTCCAAAGTGCAGAAAATCACCAGCTTGACCAAGTCGGCAACTCCTGACTCAACTCACAAAAAAGAAACATAGAGAAAGTGGAGATAGGTTACACAGATGAATATAAAAATATTGTCCAGGCATAAAGGGACAGAATCAGCAAAAGCTTAGCTGGTCCTGAAACCAGCACGGAATACAAAGGCCAACAAAAGGACATCTACATATGGCACATCAGCAGCAGTAATATGATGAGTGAGGAAAGCACGGCCCTGCTGCTGAATGCTGCAAGGACACATTCAACACACAGAAAAGGCCAAAGCACCAAAGAGCAAAGGCTCTCAGGCTTCTCACGTTCCCCAACCTAGTGCCAGAGTCAGAGGGAGCAAAGCACTCCCCATAGTAAAGGGAGATCAAATTAGGAATCACAATAGCACATGCAACATATGCAACTCCTTAAGACTGAACAGAATGTATCCAGAACTGATAAGGCCAGTGTTATTACAAGACCATGATACCATTTTGAGTGGCCACATAGCTCAGGAGAAATGTCTGACGACTTGAAAAGAGACAAAATAGATCCACAAGAAGGAGAATCCAGGAAATAAGAAATCCACCTGGAAGCCATTTCCAGGCACACAAAGGTCAAAAAAGTGACTGGGGACATCCAGCATGGATTTACAAAAGGCAAATTGTGCCTAACCAACCTGACTGTCTTCTTAATGAGACAACTGTCTAAGTGGATGAAAGGAGAGCCATGTATGCCATTTAACTTGACTTCAGCAACACTTTTGACAATGTCTCACATAGTATCCTCCCAGTCAAGTTGGAGATACATAGACTGAACGGACAGACTAAGGAGGGATAAGATCTGGCTGGATCACTGAGTTCAAACAGTTGTGGTCACTGGTATGAAGTCTGTCTGGTGGACAGTTACTGATGTCACTCCCTAAGGACATCCCAACGCCATTTAATATCCTCAGTAATTGCCTAGGTTTTCACTAATGACCTCAAGACAGGACAGAATGAAGACCTAAGTTCACATTCAACACCAAATTAGGGAGAGCAGTTGATATGCTGGAGGGCAGGGCTGCTACTCAGGGGCATCTCAGCAGGCTTGAGAAACAGGCTGTCAGAATCTCAAACCTCAAATGAAAATGTAAAGTCCTACAAGTGGGATGGAAAAATCCCACTACAGGCTGGGGACAAATGGATAGAAAGTAGCTTTGCAGAAAAGAAGCTTGCAGTCCTCAACGGTCAAGTTGAACGTGAGTAAGCAAGGAGTCCTTGCAGCAATGAGGTCAACTGCATACTGATTTGCATTAGCTAGAGCGTAGTCAGCAAGTCAAGAAAAGTGATTCCTCTCCTCTGTAAACCTCTCCTCTGTGCAACACTCTTGTAATGGCATCTGAGCACAATGTCCAGTTTGGGACTCATTGACATAGTGAAGTAAATCCAGTGGAAGGCCATGAAGGCAGCTCAGGGACTAGAGTACGTATAAGAGGAAAAGGTGAGAGAACTGGGTTCAATCCTAAGAAGAGAAGCCTGGAGGGAGATTTAAAAGCCATCTGCTGCTGCTTTATGCCACGGTCTCAACTTAATACAACCTAAGGATGCATCTCCTTTCTAGGGAAACCAAAGAGGCTATTGATGATGAGGTATCTGCAGTACCCACACCATCTTTAACAAAATCAAAAGAGCTGCAGTAAGAATAACAGTGGGAAATGTTACGAAAAAGAAACAAGAGTATAACAGAAGGGTCAAGATGCCATCACACCCTAGACTTTTAATAAATTAAGATAACCAGGATCATAAATAGAAATCTTGGTTTCTTCTTTAAAAACAGTTTGACTTTATTACAAAAAAAAAGTAAAGGCCTACACCACCAGACATCTCGTTACTCTGCACTAAGCTCAATTTTGCTCAACAGTACTTCAAACTGTAGCAGCCTGCTCAGACAGCCAAGTGGAACTGTCCCCACTGCACATCAGTAGTGAGCGAAACCAAGTGAGTTATCATCACAGCAAGGCCCTTTGAGCAAAGCCAGGTGCATGTAACCGATTTCATGGCGATGAGGTGTTCCAGCATCTGTTCCTCCATATTTCCAAGGATATTTTCTATAACATAGATTTTTCAGCATCACAAGAGTGACTGGAAGCCCATGTCCCACTAAAAGTTAGCATGGAGGGACCCAAATCCTTCTCAGGACAGTTACTCATTTCATCTAGTCTTTCCAATACACAGAGGAAGAAACTCAACTATGAGAATTACTCTTCTATCCCTTAATAAAACCACTTCCAATCTCAGAAAGATAATAGCCAAATCAATTTTGTACAGTGGGCATGAAGCCTGGATAGCAGAGTGCAGCATTTCCAACAGGGCCTCACTAAAACCTGTGAGGGAGGAAATAAACAAAAGCAAATGCAAACAAATTTGACCAAAAATCAGCACCACTTACCACTTTACTTTGCAGGTCTGTGTGTTCCATTCCACAATGTGTTTGTCCTCTGAACAGCTATACAAGCGGCAGTTGTCCTGATGCCACCTGACACAGTTTACTCTATTGTCATGACCACCATCCTACAAAAGGTAAAAGAGGGTCAACTCACTCATAAATGAAGAAGGTCTTGACTACCAAGTCTTCCCCACACCAACAATGTGAACAAGCTCTTTCAAGAACTAAACTCAAATCATTGGTAACTTGATGAGAGTGTGGTTTTAAAGACCAATATTGGTACTGGGCATTGAAGAGCGAGCTATGATCAGACTGAAAGACCCTACAAATGGGTACCATTCACCTCTCTTAAGAACCAAAATCTCTGCAGCTCAAATGTACCCTTTAATCATTAAAGAGAATATTTCCTGAAGTTTATAAAGTTTCACTATTTGAATCGGCACCAGCCAGAACAGACTACGCTGAAGTGTGTGTAAATCAGCTTTGAGCAAGATAAAATACATCACAGCAAGATATTCTGTTCAATAAGGACAGCTAAAAGTGACAGCTCTTACTCTAGCAGCAATAATCTTTTAATTCAACCTAGCTAAAAATCAAAAGTACTCATCAAATAACATCTGCTATCCTGCTGCTATAGAAGAGCAGACACTGTTTTTAAACCGACTGAAACTTTAAATTTTAACCTGAAACTCCTTTGTTTATAGTTTTCAGGCATAAATACAGCTTTTCCATAAAACAGAGTTGATATTTGCTAGCTAGGGTCACTTGCATGTATCATGATTTTAAGTCACTGCTCTCTCTAAATTCATGTACATTCATCACCTCATCATACATACAACTAACAGTTCAGAAGCGAAAGTACAGCCAAGTACCTCAAAGTATTGCACGGAGTCATTCATACCGATTTATTTTGCTTCTTATATAACCCAAGACTCAAACCAAGGTCCTTAGGAGTAACAGGGAAGTTGTCAATGAGAAAGGCAAAACAAAAATGAGTGTATTTCATTTGAGAAAGATCTTTTGAGCTCTCTCAGCACATGCTTCCACAAGGGAGGTAACCTTACAGAAGACTCCATCAACAAGACACCTTCCCAAGAGTCAATGAGTACTTCAATCCTGCTCTCCTCTCCCACAGTACTGTGCAGGAACTGAAGGTATGACACTCCCACCGAGGACTTGACTCTCCAGTTAGGCATTTCATCATTACTGGTATTTTTAATGCAAAACAACATATCCATGCACAATGTTAAGATACTGCATTAACTTGAAACCAAGATCTCTCAACACGTACATACTGGCAACAACAGAAAAAGCACCACTTGAAGATTTCCAAGCACCTGAATTACTGCACCCCTAACCATATACGCAGCTATTAAGGAAAAAAAAAAAAAATCTGAATAATTAGGTTACTTTATTCCATTTTTGAGCAGAAGAAAGAACAGCATAAACTGACTGAAACCAACAGTATTTGGTAGCATGTGATGAAGCGTGTATTACTTACTAGCTTGCTTTGTAATTCTCCTTTTACTGTGCTGTACAACAAAATGCTACCGACTGCTGTACCAATAGCCAGAATATCTAACTGTTTGTCCACTTCTGCAACTTCAGACTTCCGTTTTTTCCTCTGAGGGCCATCCTGAAAAATTAAAAAAGAGAAAATATGAAATAAATTAGTCTGACGAGCAAATCTCTGTGTTAAAGCAGAGGGGAAAAAAAACTTCTGTAAGTTGGAGACCCAGACAGCCAGCACAAACTCTGCTAAGACACAAAATGAAGACTGAAGTGCACAGAGACCTAGAGACTCATCTTGTACCTCCACGTACAAGGTAATGAAGTTGCTTTGAGTCACTTGGAAACATCTGGTGGAGGCCATTTTGCTAGCCTAGTGACCGCATCCATGGGGGGAAAAAAAAAACACAGTTATTTGCAGAGTTCATGTCCCAGAGGCAGAGGTAAAGATTAATACGATCAGAATATTTCACCTACAAAATGGAAATGCTTGATCAAGGACAATCAGTTTATTTCCTCTCAAAAGATATTCAGAAGATTCTTGCAAATACTAAGTATTCATAATGGCTCTTATAAAGAAAGTGCTACCCCACTCCGCAGAGGGAAGCAACCAGGACTCGAAGCTAAGTGCTCCGCCCAAGTCCTGTCATCAGTACCAAAGGTCCTCCTACAATCAGGCAATTCTTCAGTCTTCACCCTCTTGCTTTTCAAGTGCTATCAACCACTTCAAGGAGGGATTTCACTTCATCTCTGTCTCTCAAGCACATGAAACTAAAATAAAGAGGGCAGGAGAAGCCACTATATTTATTCTCACTGGGTTCATCCCACATAACTAACCACACACACAAAATAAAAAAGAAAAAACTGTTCAAGGACTTCAGGAGAAAAAATTTATCCCTAATGATTAGTTTTTAAACTGGGACTTTGGAAAGTCTCCTTACATTTTTTATCTCACAGCAAAGCATTCTCTCCAAATGTAAAAAAAAAAAAAAACTATACACAAGCTAATGCTTCCCCTATGCAACAGATACATTTGCACTGAAGCCAAAGGAGACTGTGACAAAATGTATGCCATCAGCTTTGTGCAAGCTCTACGTGATGTATCTAATCTGTCATACAACAGGAATCACAAAGGGAACATAAATAATTTTTACTCAAGTCCAGAGATATAATAACAATCAGGATTTTGAAGTTTTCACCACAACTAAGATTCAAAAGTTTAACAGTGCAGGATAAATACTTAGGTTGTTTGAAGCGAGACATATTGAACACAGACCATACCTTCTGCAAGGAGAAGTGTTTTGGTTTAGGCCAATAAATACCAAAATGCTATATAAGTACTTTTACATCAAAAGCAGGCTCTTGAGAAAAGAGATTACATGGGGGTTTTGTAAGCACTTGTTTAGACTTCATCCTTCCTGGGAAAGAAAACTGTTTATAAAATATTACAAAAACATAGGTGCTGAGAAACCATCACAGTCACAAAGCACAACCAAGCAAATCAATCAGGTTTTAAGACAATATATGAGAAAAGACTCAACTAGTTAAATTTTTGGCATCAATGTCAACTAAGCGATCTCAAAACTGTTGTCTGACACACAAAGACAACAGTCACATAGCCAGTGGAGATTTAAGTACAGTTTATGTGTTTTCTGATACTTTTCTATCTCTTTATATAGTTTTACCAATTACTCCACCCACCCCCACTGCAAAACAAAACCACAATTAAGAACAGATTTTATTTTCTTCCCTTGCATAAATCTTTCAACTAAAATCTCCTCACCCTCCATTTCAGTTTGTTATGGCCAATTTCCCTTGGAACAACCCAAAAGTACAACAAAATTCCCACTGAAGTCCACAATTATTTCCAGTGTCAAGAATAAAAGCTAAAGGCAGTCAAGGTTTTTCCAATTATTTTTGCACATGTATTTCTTTACTTATCACCCATTATCAGCATTATTAGAGTGGCATTTTGTCAGAAATTTCTGCATGAAAAAATGCCAGTGGAAAAATCAGGCAGCTATTAATGTTGGAGATTATTTGAAAAAACATTCTGAGAACTAATAAATAAATCAATCAATCAAACTCCTCTATCCTGCATTAGATTAGTACATAGACAGACTGACAACTGCAGTAGAGACCTACATGGGATTCACTTCTGGATCTGGGGTCTTAATATAAGAGCAGGCTGCTTTCATGGATAGGACAGGACAGGGGAGCTGAACTATAACAAGCATCAGTTTTGATGCTTTTGAATTTTTTTCAGATTTATGGAAACTCAAGCTTATTTAGAAATCCTTCAACTTTGCCTGAAAAAGCACAGAGTTTTAATCAGTAGACACGGTTAAAAGAAGTTATTTGAAACAGGACTGTGCACATACTTTTCCATAATGTTCTTATTTGAGTAGGTCAGCCACTGAGACTTTTTCGTAAAAATACAGAAATCCAATCTCTGCTGCTCACATGGGAAGTAAAGCACTTGAAACACTGAAATGGGAGAAGCCTGAAGTCTTGAGAGTTGAAGATGAGAGAGGAGTTGCAGGTTATTAGGAAGAAAGTGGAAGAATGTATTTTGAAAGTCCATGGTCCACATACTCTTGCACGAGGCATCATCAATTCGCGGAGCAGGAGATGGTGACGCTACAAAAGCACATGTGCAGGGACCATCCCAATAAGCCACTACTTCATCAGCAATTCCCAGGCTTGCAGTTCAAAACTTAATTTCTAATATTCCCCTGTAACACATGGCCTTCATTAACATGGCAGCAGTCCAAAGCACACTGCGGTTAGGTGTAACTTGGCCAAACACCATTCATAGGTATCTACTGGCACAGTTTTACTCTTGAACACCAGATTTTAGTACTACCTAAAGACATGTCAACTCTTCAGGAATTAAGAGAAATAAGGGAAAAAAAAAAAAAGACCAAATAATGTCAGAAAAAAAACACATTCAATAAAACTTATTTGTCAGAACCACCACAGCTTTAGTTCTTCGGTTTGGTCTAAGGACAAACCAATAAATTATAAAAGTGTATGGCATAATTATTCCAAGAAACAATACATCTTCCAGCTCCACTGAAAAATGTACCAACTTTCAAGCAGTGGACAGCATTCAAACTACCGGAATAATTAGAAAGCACTGAAAGGTAGCCAAATGCTGTCTGATTGAGTTTTTCACACAACTCTAAACCAGGTTAAACTGGAGCATCTGGGAGTTTTCAAAGTTCAGGGATTAAGCTGCTTAACTGAAAAAAATGAGACAATAACATCTTCCTTTGGATTGGTAATTTGTGTGTTAAACATTTTGAAATACCTCTTACAGTATTTCAAATACACTAAATTGCTGATATACCAAAATACATTTTTAAAAGCCATCCCTACTTCTTATGATAAAGGGGGTGGATTTCACATATTTTATCCAAAGGATACATTTTTCTCAGGAAATGGTATGTTCTAGCTAAAGAAAACAGGATTACTTCAACATAAAGAGGATTAAAAGATATCTTACTGTATATACTCCAGATATTTTCAGGTCAAGTGTTCACCTGAGGTGGAGTTAAATAAAATAAATTCAAGGTGGAGAACATCTGAGCCCTCTGATGTGTACTCCGAATAAAGTCACTGAATACCTTCTTGCAGGATACCTTAGCTGAGGACGACGTGTCATGGACAGCATAGCAGCTTGCATGGAAATACTTCCAAGGGTCAGGAAGTGTGGAGAGACAGTGCTTTTACCGGGATGTGAACTGTACGTAAGCTAAGTGGACACGCAGCAGCCGACCTGCTCTGCAGCACCACGGTTTCGACTTAAGGCGAGATGTACGGAGTAACATACCTTGCTCCTTCACGGAAGGTTTCTTCCATGCAGGGTATACGAAAGACAAACAATTTTACACAGTCAGTGCTCCCGTTGATAGCCCTTCTTCTTCTTCCGTTTAAAAAAAATAATATAACACCACCTCCAGCACCGCTTCCCCCATCACCACGTGAAATCTACCTTGTGAAGAGCAATCCTGCGATGCTCCTGAGGGCAGCGGACTCCCCCCACCCTGCGGGACGTCACGCGTGGATACACCCCAAGCACCTCGGTGGGGACGGACACGCTGTGGCTGAACCCCACGGAGC